GGGGGGGGGGTGCTCCCACATATGGATCATACGGGGGTGATCTGCTGAACCGGGTATGGTTTTTCAGGCTTCTTGTCATAAACAGGGTATGCAATTTCGCTCAAGTTCCAATTTTTTTTCCTGAGTTTCCTGTCATATTCAGGGTTTTTACTTTCGTATTGACCAAAACTGGTTATGGTCTTCAAAAAACGTTCTCAGAACAGAACTCAGTACTATTAATTATATCTTTTTTTATAAACAGGGTCTACAAATTTGTGTTTTTTTTGTCATAAACAGGTAACCCTTTCAGAATCCCAGTGGAGCACCCCTACCCAAATCCTAGCGGAGTACTCCCTCTGGGTAATTGGCACAAGTGTTGACATCCCCCATCCCCAGTTGAGTTCCTACTAATATATATAAAATACTTATTGTAATCTTTGAGGTGGAGGAGTATAGAACTGACCTCCTTGTATGGCACGAAGGAATAAAGGTTGGATGGGGATTAGCATTAGCACACGCTGTGGACAAAATTCAAGCAAACATAGCGAACATAGATTGGCCCTTCATTGTCTTACACGGTAGTGCTGATAATCTTACAATGGTGGATGGATCAGTTCAGTTAGAACAAGTGGCTAAAAGTAGTGACAAAACAATTAAGGTATTTGTTTCACTGAAAGGACATTTTCATGATGCCATCATTTTACAACGAATACCAAAATGCTTCGTGAGTTGTCTTTCTTATTCAAATTTTTATTAAATAACTGAAGAAAAGAAAGTGTGTGCAAGGGATTCTGGTAGTTGTAGTAAATGACGCCATAATGCAAATTTTCTAATAATAATTAAAATATAAACTTGACATTAGATCCCAGCCCTTGCAGACAATCCAAACTGACTGTGAGATGTCACCCCAGGCTTTTTGAGATGTGTATTTGTTTGAATTTTTATTACTAAACACTAGAATATAATTTAGAATAAACATTTTGGAAACCTTTCAGGGTATAATGATAATGCTTTTTTTTGAAATACTGTTTGTGTGAAACAGTCAGTAACATAATGTTGAAAGTACCTTCATAACTTAAAGAAATATTTCCCCATTCAACCATTCACTTTATGTAGAATCAACACTGAAAGTATTGTATTAGGGGTTAGGTGCACTTTAAGGCAATCAAGAAGCCCAGAGAAGAATCAACCACATATGGATTTTGATTATACAGCACCAGCTTATTCCCATGAGAATTAAAAGTGTCGCGCTTCCGATGAAGATCTTTTACGAAAACGCCAGCGTCAACCACGAGCAAGTCTTGTTCCAATTTGTATTTTAATAAGCAAGCTATGGTGAAAACTAAGAACCAAAAATAGTACATTTATAAGACAAAAGATTAAGAAAAATGTTACAAATGATAAGGGCGAGTATTAAAAGAAAAACTTACGTCTAGTGGCGTCGTAAACCTAAGAAAAGCTGTTGTAGAAGATGTGCTTTGATCGGTAACTGTATTTAACTTACRTGAGTGAATTGCTTAACAACTACCATGTGGTCGGTATCAAGTTCCGGCCTGATACTCTACACCGGAAATGGTTTGGGCATGATAAGCGAACACAACAAAAAGACCTTTGTCAAACTTGCATAACCTTGTCCTGAAACACTTGATTGTGAGGCTATGTAGGGAAAAATCCCTGGGGAGACTCCCAGATGTATACGGATGCTCATCAGAAACTATGAAAATGACCCAGGTGAAAACGACCCGTATCCGAGTCCTGTCTAGTTGGGTGTGGGAACTAATGCTTTTTATCCCTAAAAGGTACCAGTTACCTAAGATCTAAGTGTCTGACACGAAGTCAGATAATGAAACAAAAATAAATATCCTGAATTACAACTGCCATTCTGAGTGTCATAATATAATCTCAGGTATCTCATTGCCTCAAAAACACCCTCAGAGGTACTGGCTTATTCTGTGGTAGTCTGGAATCCTAAATGGTTCAACGAGCATCCCCACCCTTCTTTATATAGGAGTCCCCCCAAAAAAGAAAAATCTATTGGTCCAGTCAACAGTCTTTCCTACAAGTTACCATAAGATATGTATTCAGAGTTTTTTGTTGTATCTTAATTATCAGATTTACGAGGGCTACTACCATGAATTACTGAATGAACCACGTAAGTATTCTGAAGTCGTGAAAAGTGATATTATCGAGTGGTTAAGGAAAAGGCTGCCTGGTGGAGAACTTTATTAAGAAATTCAGCCAAATAGAAACCATTTTGCAGGATCCATCTCATAATGCATGGTTTGCAATAAAAAAAACCTTATCAGTATTGTCCAAAAATTATTCATATCCCCCACCCCCCACCACAGAAGAATTTGGAATTTCCGAGGGGTAGGGGAGTCAGAGAAAGAGCAAAATTACAGAGTTCGTATGGAAAAAAATTGTCATTTGCGGAGGAAGTGTGAGGGGAATATGAAAAAAAATCCTCCGTGGGGGGAGGGGGCTTTATGGATAATTTTTGGAACCTTACATTCCGATTTATTTTAAAACTAAACAAAATACTCTCAAATACATTCCATATTTTAATTTAAGGTATATATAAACACTACTGTATGTCTTAGACTTTAAAATTTAAGTATGACATTATTTAATTAATATTTATAATTATTTTTATCACAACTTGCATTTTATTTGATAAGTAATTTTTTAGTACACAATTTGCAATGGCTTTGTATTAAATTATAATTAAGGATAGGAGGCACTTTATTTAACAGCTTATTTGCAAGAATTACATAATTTTATTTGACACCATTTCATAATATACAGTTACATATTTATTTAATATTACAGTTGAGCTTGTACTGACCCATTAGCCACACAAAAGTGAGGCTAAAGTGGCAACACAGTAGAAACTGACCACACTACTGACAACTATTGGTAATATCTACCAGAGTACTATCATTAGATTACTGTGTGGATACTCCAACCGGGACCATTTCGATAAAAACTTTTAGTTCAATATTTTCAACAAGCCAAAAAGATAGCACATTTATATAAAAGAGTGAGAATGCATTAATCTGATTGGCTAATGCTGTTATCAGTTCAATCTCTGTCTGGTTTACTGTTATCTGATTGGTCAGTTTTATTCAAGTGTTCCCGGTTAGTGTCTGCACAGTTATTTTAGGTCAATTTAATGTTAAGAGCATCTTAAAGTATTATAATGGATCTTGACATGATTTAAATTTGAGGTCAATACTTAGAAATATTTTTATAGCGCAAGTTTTTATCTTTTAAAATACTTAAATATATATGATTTTGCACAGCTGGTACAAGGGTAAGAAAATGTTTATAGACTCAGAATTTTTTCCGAGTCTTTAAAAAATTGCAGCTGCATAAGTTGCTTGATATACTGTGAGGATCAGCTCAAATTGGTAAAAAAATATAGGAAGTTAATGTAAGTTCTAAAAAAGATAAAAAATAAAGTGAAGTAAGTGATCTATCTGTTTGTGTTCATTCGTTATTATCATCATCTGTTTCAGCAATAATTTCAAACAAAATGCTGTCATGTTTAAAACATGCTTAAAAATGGGAAACATAGTTACTGCAGGATATCTCCAGTGAGTGGCTGGATTTGCCTGAGATCTAAGGACTGTCTAGAAGATGACCCAGTCTATAGTATTGAGGGAACAAATTTAATTGACCAGCAGCCAAATAAATTTCAAATGTACTATCATTATATGCAGAATCCAGATCAGATAAAATAGCTAAATCTTCATAGGCATTGCAGCATTTGACAGTTAATTAAAAAAAAAAAAAAGACAGGCTGAGAGAATTGGGAAAGGGTTGTGGGGTTGTGGGGGGTGGTGTGGGGNGGGGGGGGGGGCACACTGGCGAGAGGCGAACTCTCACTGCTATGCCATCCATGCATCCAGAAGCCTCAAATAAAGCCTTACAAAGGACAATTCAAACCTGTTAACATTATTGAACTCAAATTTCTTTTCTTTAATAGTATACTAAATTGATTAAAGTTGTAGTATATGCAGATGAATATTAGATCGATAAATTAGATAAAACACAATGACAAACATTGATCACTGAGGATAAGGTTTGCCACACTTTGTTAAGTAGTCACATTTACATCCCACAGGACAGGTGAGGATACCACGCTCCTGTAATCTCTGTAGTAATCACATGATACAAAGGGAAAAGGAATATATTATGTTATATTCAAGAAAGTGAAAAGCAAATTTATTATTCTAAAAAGATGATTCCACAATTGCATTGCTGTGGAGTTTGTCATATATATATAAATTAGCTGCTGAATAGAGAGACTTTTTGACTCCCTGTCCTTCACAGACTGCAAGCTAAATCAATTAACATTCTCAGTTACATGACACAGTAACAGCGTAGCATGCACACATTTAAAATACATGTAAAATATTATCTATTAACTATGTATACTGCTGGAGGAATAAGACATTAGCTTGCGAATATTTCTGCTTTGGCTTCAGGAAATATCCATCAACTTAGAATTAAATCTTATGTAAATTAGGATTCAGAATCCTTAGACATGAAACACTTTTGATTGATGTCCACCAACGCTCAATTTCTCGTTTGTGATTTGGGTCTCAATTGATTGCATGTGACTGAGAATCAGAGTAATGTGAAACCCAAGTGTAAGTGTTTGTGTGTGTTTTACTAAGTGTAGGCAGTTGTAATCATCAAGTACATGTAATTGTTTAATATTGAATTTTAAAAGAAAGAACAGGCTGGTTAATATCTGTAATTTAGAGTAAGAGAAGTAGAAGTAAAAAAAGAAGGATGAAATGCTTACCCTATTCATTGCATCATATCTTAACACAAAGTCAGCTGTTTCTGGTTTTAAGTCTGGGTCATAATTCCAGAATGAACCAGCACCAACAACTGCTCTTGGCCAGATCTAAATTGTATAAAAAATCAGATATCAGAATCCTACATTAGATATTGTAGCTCCTATACCAGATTTACCAGAAAGGATGGGGGCAATTGAACTCACCAAGCCACTGACAGACTGTGTAAACTGAGCATCGTGAGTAGGGTCATACATCCACCATGCTTGTGGTTTGGTATTATGTCTGTAGCAACATTCAGATATGTAGCAATAGTAATCAGTCCACATTGCCATCTCACCACCAAGCAAAAGCTCGACTTCCTGTGGGCTTAACTTATTTCCAAAGACAAATTTCCAAAATCAATATTCTCAATACAAGGAATAATTATTGTAATTATTGTAACTAGTTACATGTACATGTAGGCACTATAGAAGTCATGAGCTCCATCCTCAAGCTTAGCAAGCTTACTTCATTCTTAGGGTGTATGTTATATCATAGCAGGGGAGGGGTAAAGGGGGAGCACACCTGCTCCCCTACCCTAGATGATATCTACTGCATCATTGACATTTCAGTTTGTAAGCAAAGAGTGCACCCCCTCCTAAAAATTCCTGCATCTGCCCCTGCATAGCCACCATGTTGTTTGATGATGACAAAACATTATTGGTATTTCATTTTGTAAGCAAAGAGTGCACCCCCTCCTAAAACGAAAATCCTGGGTGGTGCACCCTTCCCTAAAAAATCCTGCATCCGCCCCTGCACAGCCACCATGTTGTTTGATGATAACAAAACATTATCCTTATTAGCTTCTCTTGATAGATCAACCAACATGGTGGACTTCATTGTTATTTATATATTGAAGGATTTTGAGTCATGCGGTTACACCTCTCAATATGCATACATCCATGCCATTTTGATAGTTTGAATATATTCTACATCAACGGAGGTCTAGCAAGTATGGTGTAATTAGAATGCATTATTTACATTCTTGAATAATCTAATGCACATTACAAATAATTTGAATTATATTAAGTTATTACTTACTCCTGATGAAATGTCTGTCCATAGTGTTTCAGGTGTAACTGACTGTGCATAATTGAGATAAAAATGACTAGACAGGGAATTTATCCTAATAATAAAAGAAAATACATTAATTACCAAATAAAAAAATGAATGAATCTTTCATGGAAAATATCCCAAGTTCAGCATACTTACGCCCTATGTTTCTTATCTATGATTGTCTTCACTGACTCACTTTTCCATGCTTGAACTATAGTGCTGTTCAGAGCCTAATGTTGAGAAAACGTATTGATTAATTGTTATCTATGTACCCAAATATGTAGCTTCCTCTTAAAATATACCACAGCATAATACTTACAGAGGCTGTTATTGAAAAGGCTTCTTCCCAAGCAACTGTAGTCTTATTCAAAGCCACATATTCGAGCAGAGCTGTTTCTAAACTTCTCACATCTGTAAATATAAATTAAGATCTAATTAACGAATGCCAGCCAAAATGCCCTCACTCCACCTTTATGAGAGTGATAGAATAATCCCTCCCTCTGGAATTTATTGCATATATATGTGTTGTATAGAACGTATATATGTATATTACATAATTATACCCCTATGTACTATATATACTAGACCTCCTTGGCTCAGGCATAATGTTTTCCCGGTTCTGTTTTCCTGACCTGGTGTCATTCCTTTGAGATCAAGATTTTTTTGTTTCAGCTGTATCTATCTAATAATATTCATGTGTCTTCTCATATGCAACTGAGCACAACCTAGGAGGCTGGAACATATTTTGTGCCTTCACATACAGTACACTCACAATCATGAACCAAAAAAATTAATTTGGCTATAATATGACAGCAAGTAAACCCAAAAGCCAAAGACCATAAACCAAAGATAACAATGAACATGAAAAAATGACGTAAGACATTGCTGTAACAACATCAGCTTGCGCTCAAGAAAAACCATTTCCAGCCTCCTTAAACAAAGAAATGATACTCTAGGCAATGACAGGTGGTCTGAAATGGAAAACATTATCTCTGAGCACGCCAAGCCAAGGAGGTCTATAAAATGTACAATAATGCATTCCTCTTACTGTCACTGGTGCAATTTTGGTCATTGAAAGTCTCATCAAGGCCAAGATGAAAGAGTTCATCAGGAAAAAGTGACATCATTTCACTGAGAATCCCCCTCATGGTTGTTAAGGTAACCCCCTAAATACAACAATAGTGCAAAGAATTGTCATAATTCTTGTCATACTCTTTGTACTTTGTAGTGGTTTGTGGGACAAGATTTTAATTCCACTGGAAAAACTGCTGGAATGATAATTATTGGTTTGCTATTCTCTCAGTCAAACCATTAATTGGACAAACACTCTAGCTCTTATGTTACTGAAATTGTTTTCTAATATACCTGAGGATCATTGAAAAGTTCCAAGAAGCCAGAACTGTTGCAGAACTTGACACCCTTTGTTTTATTGTACAATCCCATCAGACCATTGGCATGACCACTTGTGAAATATAAAATTCAATCAATCAATGAAAGTGTAAACAGATAAGAAGATAGGTGAATGGGAAGAGTGGGGAGTGGCTACATGGTTGGATGGGTGAGTGAATTATGGATGGGTGAATGGCTATATAGCTGGATGGATGGATGGATAGATGAACATGTGAATTGTTTGCTTGATGGGTGGATTAACTATGATGACTAACTGGATCACAGATGGGTGGATGGAAGAGCAAAAGGTAAGCTGATCATGAATGGGTGAGTGAATGGCTATATAGTTGAATGGATGGATAGGTAGATGGACATGTGAATTGCTTAATTGATGGCTGGGTGGGTGGATAAACTATGATGACTAACTACATCATAGATGGGTAGATGGAAGAGCAAATGGTTGGCTGATCATGAATGGGTGAGTGAATGGCTAGCTTGCTGGATGGATTGGTGGATGGATGAATGGATGGCTAGCTAAATAGATAGAAGGGTGAATTGCTAGCTGGGTGCATTGACTGGTGAATGGTTGGTTGGATAGCTGAGTGGGTGAATAGATGAGAAGGTGGATGCATCAATGGTATCTTTATTTTGAATTCAGAATAGTAACTGTTGTTTCAGAAGCCAAAGCTTCTATCAAATACTGTCCAGGTTTTTTAATAGGCATACCAATAATAATTTATTATTTTGTGACAAAACATAACTTACGCAGCTTCTACTTCAGGTACAACTCTTATTCCCCTGTCTCTTGCATAAGCAACAAGATTTTTTACATCATCTTGAGAGTATATTTCTTGTTCATTATTACGCAGGTCTGGGTACCTACAACAAAAACAATGGTCCAGACATTATATGTTGTTATGATATTATAAAATAAGTTACCTGTTCTCTCACATTAAAAATTATTGAAACCAATATAAGCCAATAATTATAAGGCTTTTTCATGATGTACTGTATGCATTGGCATATCGGCTATTAACACATCTGCACATGTAAACAGGGTACAGGTATGTATGTATATACTCACATTTTACTTTCAACACTGAATCTGCAAAGGTCTGACAGATGAAAATGGAAGACGTTCAGCTTGACAAAACTCATGGCATCAAGGATATTGTAGAGCAGTTCAATTGGAAACAAACGGCGCCTTAAATAATGATGACAATACTCATTGATTATGTGTCACAGTATATATATCCAAGAGGGGCAGATACTGCATGTACTGTAAGGCAAGAAAAGTAAAGTTCTCTCAATTGAGTTGTCTGTTGTTACTATGGAACCTTTGCAGGGGTGGATCCAGGAATTTGTTCAGGAGGGTGCTGCTTACAAAGTTAACCCAGGGAGGGGTGCACCCCTTAGAATCAAAGGGAAAAACATTATTTTGTATTGGTTATTTTCGAAGTGAGGGCACAAAGTCGAACCAGGGAGGGGTGTGCACCCCCTGCACCCCTCTCCTGGATCCGCCACTGCTTTGGTAGAAAATGTTTTTCTAACCATTCAAACAGTACTTTTTGTCATCTTACTAATCCTTGCTGTATAAGAAAAACAAAACCTAATTGCTCCCAAAGGGAGGGAGCAGTTATTGCATATTTTACACTTCCATACCCAGTATCCAACATAAGTCCTCTGTGAATGAACGAGGGTTCGTCTTTAATGTCAATATTTCTGCTCACAAGAGCTCCATATTCAATCAACTGAGATAATGTTTCTAGACCATACCTATAAATATAATATATACAAGGGGCATAAGTCATTGACAGATCAAATGAGAAACTGAAGATTGAATGCAGAGGTTACAAACAACTACATAGATATGATGGCTTCAGGTGGAACAGTATGGACTGTAGATTTTTGTTCTTTCTTCCATCCCATGTTTCATTCACTTGAGTATTATACCTTTCTTGAGAATTGATCTACAGTAGGTACAACTTTAAAGACTTGCTTCATTCTAAGATGAGGTGTATGGCATCCTGAAGTTGCTCTGTGATATATACATGTAAAGACACCTTCCAAAGTTTGCATTCATGCATTTTACTGTACATGCATGACTTGCATGCACAAGGTGTTTTATAATAACAAATGCCAAGCATTTGAAAACATTTGGCAAAGGATACACAAAACGATATAGAGTTATATATGTAAATCTTTGCTTCATTACATGGATAATCTGGGGGTACTCTTGCCCATTTAGGTTAGTGATTTTAGGGATGTGCCGCTGAGCCCTCTGAAACCCACACACTGTTCCAGAGTAGCGTAGGTTAGTGCGTGATTTCATAATAATATACCCTGTACCAGAGTGAGTGCGATTTTATATACCCTGTTCCAGAGTAGAAAATGCATAGCAAATATAGGGGAGTACCCCACTCCCCACCCCGGGGTGGGTAAATACTAAGCTTATGACAATACATAATAGGTATAGCTTTTGTAAATATCTATTACTTACAGTGCACCAAATGGACTATTTGCATCAATTTGGATCATATTTGAAGAGTTGAAAGACAGCGAGTACTTATAAGAAGTTTGCATTCCAAGAGTTTCGTTATCATTCGTCACATTTACGACCACTAACTCGAGTTCTCCATCACTCTTTGCCTTGAAATCTTGCTCGTTATTTGACAAGAGATGATAGGTGATGTACTTCAGGTATCTCGTGATTCCATGTTCGAGAACGTTGGACTTTGAAGAAGTTTTTATGCTTAAGGCCCTTGACACGGGATATGGCGCTCCAGATAGTGATATCTGTTTTGGAAGAGGCCATACTGTCTCTCCAGACGCGAAATTTAAAAGAAGGAAAGCAAAAGTTGCAAGAAGAAGCTGCATCCTGTCAAGTGAATCACGCGCTTCTTCGAACTGTCAATAAGTCGAGTGGGAGCTGGGTATAGTCCACAGGGTACCCAAGCATTTGGGTAAACATCAAAGTCTCACCCAAACTCTCGCCCTTTCCGCCTCCTATCAAATCAGTGAAAAATCTGAAGAAAATCACTGAATGTCCACCCCCTCCTGGAATTCTTTATAAATTCAATGTATTTATAAGAGAAAGTAAAATTTAAGATCATACTAAAATTTGCAATGGGGTATGTAAAACTGTTTGATGGTGAACTTGTTCAAAATCCTGCCGTTGGCTGAATCATATCATGTCCTTTGTTTTTCATCCTTTTCCATCCTTTGGGAGCACAATTTGATTTATTTTCATGTTTTATTTAAAAATATGAAAATAGTTGCTAAATATACAGTCAATGTCATTAACGTGGTCCACCGAAAAAAGATATTTACACATTTAGACATTTACATATTTAGACATTTAGACCGAAAAGAAATATCATGTGTTTCCTAGAATTCTGGCATAAAACAAACGTTGAAATACCAATCTCCATCTTAAATCCCCACTAAATGGTCGGCACATTCTGGATTTTCGAATCACAAGTTGAATCTTACATTTAAAGTTCAGGCTGACGCATAGGAGGCAAAGAATACATAATGAAACACGTGATATTTCTTTTAGTCTAAATGTCTAAATGTCTAAAAGTGTAAATGTGTAAATGTATAAGTATCAACAATAACAACGTTAATGACATTGACTGTATATGATAAAGTTGCCCTAGTTGTTCTTCACCCCTTGCCTTCCCCCTCCCCCAACTTTGACTTAACATTGATAGCTGCAAACACACCAACATACTCTTTGGTGGTCTTTTCAAACCTTTTATTTCAAACACAAGGCTAAGGTCGTGCAATCAGTATCAAATCAGAATCTTACTCTCAATTTTATCAGATATTGATTTAGTTTTTATTCAACATTATTGAGTTTTCAAATGAAGAAATACAAGACTATTAATCTGAAACATTAGAGAATGACTACACTTGAATGCTATATTGCTGTTCTGTGCATTTTGTTCCTGCACTGACCAAAATTCATCAGTTCCAATCTACTCAAATGAGTTGAGTTGACGATCAAAACATCATCATCACAGAAAAAAGCAATGGAATACTGAGTATTAGACAGACTGTCATGATCCATTATTAATAATACTGTCAAAAAGCTGCCCCAAGATAGAACTTCATTAAATATGCCAAAAAATTATTATATAGTATTGGTCTGAACTATGCTGTTATGTCGGTTAAACAAAGAGTATCGTTATATACCAACTATCAAAGTCCATTTTTATCATACTCTGATTGGGCAAGAGGGTATCACGTGAACATTTCCTTGGTAACTGCTTTCAACTGGCAATGATATGTTGTTGACCGGTAATAACAATACCAGGGAAGATTTTCCCATAAATGTGTGGTTTTTTTTTGAAATTAAATAATCAAAAAATCAAAAAACTGCTTTTTTCCCTTTGACACTTGGTACATAACAAAACGTATTATGACTTCAACCTCCAGAAAGCAGTGTGTTTYGTGGTCCCTCGACGGCAATGTTTCCCTCGGCTTCATCTTGTGAAACATTGCTGTCTCGGGACCACAAAACACACCTTTTCCCCTGGTACCAGTCAATAAGTGTTAAGTACGTACTTGTGAGCGTAAACACTGTCAAAGCTGCCATTTGAGTAAGACTTATACTTCATGAACAATTTCTTAAGATGTTCATGAATTATATTTTGTTAAGCTGATTTAAAAAGAATAAAAATTGAAAACCTCTAAATAATCATCATATTTTTCACTAACTAGGCTGAGTTAGTTAATTGTTTAGCTCTTTTTCAATATCTTTCACAATGTCTAGTGGTGCTGTGTTTGGTGCATAACGCTTAACAGGGATGCCTTCTTTATCACAAAGAAACTTTGTGAAATTCCACTTGATGTTGTCAGTGAGTGTACCTTTCTTTGCTTTCTTAAGGAACACATAAAGGGGGTGAGCATCAGAACCATTCACATTTATCTTACTAAACATGTCAAATTCAGCATTATATCCTTTTGCAAACTCTTTGATTTCTTCATTTATACCAGGTTCCTGACTTCCAAATTGGTTGCAAGGAAAAGCAAGAATTCGAAGACCTTTCTCAGCATACCTAGAAGGAAAAAAAAGATCAAGTTAACTAAGCCCATTATAATAATAACTACCAAAATATATTTAACAAATAAAACAGCTTTTTATGTGCTCCATAAAGTGACAAAGCAAGCAGGAAGTGATGTAAGCAGCACAGCACAAACATGGTAATGACACTGCAAGGGATACGCCAGACCAATCACATTCTCTACATCCAATCCAATACCCAGAACATGGTATGAACATGGTCACACAAAGGTAATGGCAATACCAGACCAATCACATTGTGTGTGAAAAAAATCAGGCAATTAAAATTATAGAAAGCATCATGGTCATGGCATGGCACGCTTAYGGCACTGGGCTTTTCACAGTCATGAAAAACTGCTCTAATGGATTTTTAAGTACTGTTAGTAGGTGCCAAACGTCAAAATTTGGTCATCAAATGTTAATGTACCGCCCCAATTAGTGCGGTTTTCTTTAGAAGTGTTTCCGTTTAGGTGAAAGCGACGGTATTTCGAATATTCAAATATCTATAAATGCTTCGTTTACTAGTTATAGGGAAGAAAAGTTAATCAGACTTTACTGTGAACTGTAACACAATTATATAGTGCACTTTAAATAATAATAATCATGATGAAGATGATACTATTTAACAGACTATTAAGCTGATATAGCTTATTCAATTTCAAAATATTATCCTACAAGTTAGCATAATATTTCAAAACCATCATTCACTCATGACCTATATGAGTATATCTAATTAGATAGCCCTAGGCTGTTGTAATAAGCATGTGCCCTAAAATAAGGAACCTTATATTTATAATCTTATTAATCCTTTGTAAAAATGGCACTAATTAATTAAAAAATTCAAAGTTTAAAGTTCAAATTAAATAATTACTAAAGTATGAAATGTGATCTTAATTAATTAAACATAGATTATTCAATTATAATTATATTTCAATACAAAGTATGTTATGCAATAGGATGCCGACGAAGCATGACAAAGTTGTACAGGAATGGATATCTTATGAGTCAATGGTATGCTTTTAACGATAACTCCTTTACATAAAACAAAGCAAGACAAACAACAGAGTTCAAAACCTCGCCAAAAAAACACGTTATCTGTAATAACTGTTTTAAAGAAGGTACTTGGAGCTTACCGTGTGTGCAGTTCTTGTAGCTGAGTGTAGTTCTTCTTCGTAAACCCTCATTTAGAGGCCACATTCACAATCAAAGTAACAAACCCTTTGTATTTCGACAACGAGACGTCGTTTCCATCGATGTCTTTCGCTTCAAACTCACATATCGAAGTAGCGGCTTTACCACCTTCAGCCATGGCTGTACTGAACAAACCAGCAGCTAAACCAACCGGTAAACACACAATCCTCAAGTTATTGAATGTAGATGGAGAGAAGAGGTATTTATTTGCTTGGAATACACGCCGATGTAGCAAACTCCCCATGTATTGTAGAGGCTATTTCGCGAGACTCAAAACGACATCCCGAAAATGACGTCACCTTCGTGTTCCGACGGATTCGTTCCGTCGTACCGACTCGTGACGTGACCAACAACAAACAAGATGGCGCCGATGCGTTTCTACTACTTTTCTCTGTGCTTTTCTTAATTCTTACATGATCATGAGGACTACCTCCAAGTTCCGTACAAAAATAAAGGTAAGATTTTAGGCAAAGTATTTTAACAGCAATTGTTTACAAAATCGTAACAATGTTTTATTATTGTGTCATTTTGGTACTCACGAAATAGTTGTTTTAAACTTTGGACGTTACTTCGCGAGTTCCAAAATGACAAGCTTTTTTAAGCTCAAATTTTCTGTTAAAATTCACAACTGTATGTCGAAACTATATCCTTTTAGACTTCATTTTTTTAAATCGATTTACATCTATTTTCATAAACATACGACCTCGGTGCTCCGAGTTGCACGCTGAAATTTGTTTTTTTCGCTGCCGTCAATCAAACCTAATCAGTCGGTAACTTTCATATTTTTGATTTGCGGGAGCGAAAACCCAAATTTCAGCGTGTAATTCAGTTAACTTAAAGTTGGTGATGCAATAATGTAGGCGCATAGGCTCGTAGGCATGTAGGCGCTTACAGGCTCCTATTCTTGTATGCCCGGAGTGGGAGGGTGGGGGAGGGGGGGTACTCCCATAAATGAACTATACGGGGATGATGCGATGAAGAGGGTATGGTTTTTCGAGCTTCTTCTTTGATCCAGCCCCGCCCCTCAGAAATTCAACATCCCTATGTGTGTGTGAGGAGAGGGGTATGGATAGTTTCTGGTACTACACAATGTTATTTTGTTAATTGTTCATCATGACTAGTATCAAAACTACCTCATAGTCTGAAGTAGGGCAGGGCAGCCAAACCTTTTAGTATTTTGAACCAGAAATCTTBGCTTTTTAAATGAAAAATGATCACCATTGTCCTGCAAAAGTGTGGAGAGATTTCTTTAGAGAGATAGTTAAGAGAGACATTGACTTGTTTCTATTCATAACTTAAGTACCTGCATCTTTTCAAGATATCGCCTTTTATTAGCCTTGTTTCTGTCAATACCATGATGACAGTCATAGACCTTTTATGCCATTTATCACAGATGGTGTGCCATCAAACTCTATTCTGCTAGAAATTGTTGATTTAGCATTTTCAAAGAACACTTTATGTTTTTTCCGAACATCTGTTTTGGTTTTATTTTTATAAAAAAAAGATTTAATAAATATATTTTACATGTACATAGATGGATAAATCACTCACTTAATTCTATTTTTATTACTTGTTACAGGTAAATATTACTATCGACTATGTCTCATTTTCTCATTGGACTCTGAAGATGACTTACACTCAGGTTGTGGAATCGTCAGTCGCCACCAACTACAGTCTTTTTCAAGACTACACTCACCCGGAAAATCACATTTCACACCAAATTCAACTTATTTCTTTCATTTTTCTCTTTCTGTTCTTTCACTTTTGGTGTAATGCAAATTCTTTTAGAATTTTTCATTTCATTTTCCAGGTTAAGCARCATGCTATTAACAAATACTACAGAATGTCTCTGTGATCCGTGCCATGTGTATATAATGACATAACATCTTATAAAKAAAAAAAGTTAATACATATATRCTATAAAAATCATTTATTACTACAGTAGTCATAGTTGTGACCTTATAAATTAGAATAATTGTTCTCTTGAATTTTTTCCGGGGACTCTGGGAGGAGGAGGGTAGAGGGAAGGAGAAATGATCATGAAGAGAGCTTAGTATTTTTTAATTAAAAATGCCAACATACCTTTTCTTGCAAAATTCTTGCAGTAAAACGCACAGAATTTACTTGTTGTAGCAGTTTCAAATTGTCTAAGCACCTCTAAGGCTTCAAGCTCATTCAAAACATAACCAAAATCAGGGGCGGATCCAGGATTTTTTCAAAGGGGAGGTTGTAGCATTCATTGAGGTGGTGGAGAGATATAGCAGACCAAAGGGTTAGGGAGTCAATTATTTGCTGCAGGCGAGCATGGTTGTTTCAGGTCCCACACACGGCGTATAAAAAAAAAAAGCGAGAAAAATGTGTCCAACACCCCTGTTTTAATAAAACTCGCAATGCTGTTGGTGTTGTCATGAAAAATTATGATAATAACCCCCCCCCCCCACCGCTTAGATTTGCCACTGAAAATTTGTCTCCAGAGATGTGAAGTTATCCAAATGATTCAAAATATAGTCCATCTCCATCAAGATTTTTACCACATTTCCCGGCAAATTTCTGAAATTCCCGCCAAAAGGACCATTCATCATATTTACTTCCGGTTGTCAATTTCGTTCACGCGAAATAGTGTTCACAAGTTTGTTTACATTACTTCGCGTGAATCAGGCTGACACGATTTTAATAACAGAAGGTACGACATTATTGAGAGATTCTTATTTTTATTTAAAAATTAATCACGATTTACACGTTCAAACACTCAACAAACGGCTTCAACACGACTTCAACACGGCATGATTTCCGGTAGCTTCACTATCGAGACAATCATTCCGTCGGGAACACGAAGGTGACGTCATTTTCGGGATGTCGTTTTGAGTCTCGCGAAATAGCCTCTACCGACACGGGTGAAAAACGCACTGCGCATGCGTTGGGAGAAAAACAAAATGGCGTACAATAACAATCAATCACATCTAAAGGTAGGTTTTATTTTAACCGACAGGGCTATTTTTTTATATTCCTTTTGGAATTTTACAGATATTTTTGGATTTCTTTACACAGAATCCGACCATGTGATTATCTGCAAATTAGCCATGCTGGATGTCGACGTCGGGCCGCGAGTGGCGGCATTTTCAAAGATTATTTTTGCTTTGTATAAACAAAAGTTTTTTTGTATAAATCAGCAGTGTATCACAATCAAAATTATCTTGCTATTGCGAAAAGGACAACCTTAAGTTTTCAGTATTTTTCTTAAGTTTCGCGATTTTGTAAAACAATCAAAACACCGGCATCAAAAACATAAGTTGCCCTTAGTTACGCTACGCCATCTCCGAGCATGCGCAGTGCGTTTTTCACCAGTGTCGCCTCTACCACATATATTATGTAGTCAATGTGGTCTTTGAACCTGTTTGCTCAAAGGATCTAGGATATGTCACATGTCACACAGTGTTGACAGAAACGCGGAAGAACTCGGATACGTCTCGTGCTCACCTCGGGTTCTCTCGTCTCAGTTCGTTCTCGTTCGTTCCAAAGTCGTTCAAGGTCATTCATCACGAGCCATACCGAAAACTTCCGACGACATAGTATTTGATTGTCCGAATCTGAGTCTTTATTTTGTTGTCGAAATTTCCCAAAAATTAAAGTAACTTTGAACTTATTCTCACAACCTTTTTATTTTTTCGTTGCTTGAGTGCAATAAACTTTACTTTAAATATTAAATTTAATAAATAGCTGACAATTTTTCCAAGTAATGGGAGGGGAGGGTAAAGAGGTTGCTGTCAAAGCCTGGCCTCCAAGTCTGCTTGTATGCAGTGAATCATCAATCGATCGACACGATTGATTGACAAAGCAACGCAGCAATTTTCTTGCAGTAGGAAGACGCAAAATAAGAGAGGACAAAATGACCGTACAGTGGACATTGGCAGCGGGATTCTTGTATGTAGAGATTGGAGTGATCATGCTCTTCTGTCTTCCCTTCATATCTCCTTCAAGGTAATTTTTGTGCCACACGAAACATCACTGTCGAAACATCTTATTTATCCAAACCTTGCTATATTGTTAATAATTCTACCAAATGACCAAACACTTTGCTATTTTGAGTTTAAGCAAAACTAATGAATAGTAGTAGTTCTTATAGTCGAAGTTGGATTGATTGAAAGCTGGTTGATTCAAAAGATTTTTATTTGTGTATTTCTTCTTGTTTGAAGGTGGAACAGCATATTCAGGTCCCGTTTCGTCTCAGCTGTTTTTGAATATGGCAATTTTTACTTCAACGTGGTCGTTATTGTCATGTTACTTCTTCTTACAGGTACATAGTCTAACAAGTAAGCTTATATGTCTTCTTTTCCAAAGGAATAGTAAAGAAAATCTCACTGGTTTCGCTAAAGATTTTCTACGAGGATTAGGATACACGGACCTTGGATTCTATATTTTGATATATTAAAGCTCAGAAGTTTGACAAGTCGCTTTCCCTTTCATGTTCCCATTTACCAAACGTTTATTATCAGCCGTGATAAATCGTTTGCTACTCATTAGTATTGAGCTGAAGCATTAATCTTTGAAGTGATTAATTGGAAGACATGCAGGTTCAAAACCCTCTGGGAGGAGTGGCAGCTCACATCTTCAGAAAAGCTTCATATTAAGTGCATATAAATATCATGCAAGTCAAGATATTAATTATTGAGAGAGAGACTCAATTGTGTCCTCAATTAGTATATTTCATGCTAAAGTATATTGACACGTGAATAAAGATGATGATGATTATTATTATTATTACTCTTCTTTTCCTTGAAACTCTTATCAAAAAATATTTATAAAACCTAGAATGATTAAGTCATAACCAAGTCAGTCTCACTTCCATTCAAGCTCTCCAGGGTCATATAGGTGATCGGTCCCGAAAAGTCATGACTGGTACAGATTGATTTGCAGTGGGTCATGGTCATGATGGTACTGCATGTCATTGGCTAATAAGCCTTTTCATAGTTTAAGAATCGATTCCACTGCGCATTCACCTTCTTTTGTCTAAACCTTCTTTTGTTCTTAATTAAACAAAAGGTTAGAAATTCGGGATAAAATCGCATGCGCAGTGGAATCGTTTCTTAAACTATGAAAAGGCTTATTAGAATCATATAAAAATTTGCTGTGATTGCAATTTGGTTTAAAGAATATCTCCCAAATTTCTCTGTAAACAAAAGTGCTCTTTACAATGGACTACTTTGAAGATACAGCGGATCTTGGATCCCAAGGCATTATGGGACAACCAAGGGGCAATTAAAGCTTTTTTTATAGATATTATCATGTCGATTGATATTAATAGCTCGTCACAGGAGAAGACAACAAAAAAATAATTAAGACGGCACATCGATCAGTTTTATCCATAAAAGAAAGTCAAACACATGAAACTCTATATATTTTCTGTCATTGTTGTTTTGTTTTATTTTGCCTCCTGGCAAGATGACCGCTATATTGTCAAAGTAGTCCTTTGTCAATTCTCAGTCATTTATCTAAATCCACTTAGTGATTTTTTTTTCAAAATTATCATTATTGAAGACTCTGTGAGGGAAATGCTCAAGTACAACCAATATGACACGAGCCACCTTGACCTGAAGAACAACCCACAATCTGAAACACTGGTCCACATGAAGTTGTTCAGATCACAGAGAAACTTCTACATTTCTGGCTTCTCCTTATTCTTGCTGATGTATGTATGAATACCTCTATTGCAGTATGGTTCTTCAGTGTGRGAATAAACTCTTTTTACATATATTAAGTCAATTGGTATTCTTTTGCAACAAATTTAACCCGATTTTTTAATAGAGTTTCATGTAAAAAAATAGGTGGGTGACCGTTGCATTAAAGTTATTATGATTACAGTAAATTGGTCAAATCAGCTATGTACAGTGTTATGTTATACTTCATAAGAAAGACTGATCACTGATGGGTCGACTTTGGTAGTAGAATTGATCTAAAAAAACTACAACAACTATGTGTTTACACATRGTGTGAGAACTTGTGTGGCTTCATAACTGAGTACACTATAGCTAAATTTCATCTAATTTCTTTTTCAGTGTGCTACGAAGAATTGTCAAACTCGTTTCCAGACTGTCAGTGAGCGAGGCTTCCGCTGCAGCAAGCATTAGACAAGCAAAGTCTGCAAGTGAACAATGCCAGAAGCTTATGAAGGAGATTGAAATGCTGGAAAAGGTAGACTATTCATAATGTAAAGGGGGTACATAGTGTCCCTTTCCATTCAATATTTATATGGTATAATAACAATTTAAACCAACCAGTCAGCACGTGTGTACTAAGCATCCTAACTATATAATAATTACTAATAAAGCACAGTTTTCGACCAATAAGCATGCACATACTATCCTAACAATATAATTAGCTTGTTTAATTTTCGACAGGCCAAAAAAGGTGAAACAGATGAAAATGATGAAGAAGCTGAAAGCGATGAAGTGAACAAATTGAGAAAAGAGTTGGGTGAGAAGAAGAAAGAACTTGAAGAAAAATCTAAAGGTAAAAAAATGGGATTAGTGTGCATCTGGTAAAAACAAAAACCTGGAATCATAATGAGTACTTAATGGCAATGCTTGTATAGAGCATCTTCACATGACGCCACAGTAGCCATGTTGGTGTACCAATTCAATACATTTTCTATCCCTGGGGAATTGAACTTTATATTTATGCTAAAATGTGCAGAAAGTTTCTATTGTTTGGTATACCAATATTACTGCCTTATCACGTGAGTGAAAGCGCTCTATAGCTATTTGTCTTTAATTTGAAATGCAAACATTTTCTGATTACATTCGAGTTTGAAAAAATTGCATTTCGAACTATTGGCTTAATACCCATTTCTTTGGCTCATCTGAGATGATGACCTGTCGAATAATGAGCTCAATTACATTCTAACGAGCCATCACACTTACAGAAATAACTGAAATATTACAGTAATTAAGGCATTAAGGTTTTTTGGTTCTGTCATTTCAGACTTGGACAAGACCAAAAAGGATTTGTCAGCATTCAAAGAGCAAGCTCAAGGAGTTACTCGGGAATATGACAGACTTTTGGAAGAACATAATAAAATTCAGGTACATGCTAACTCTAGTAGTTATTGAACCACCAGTGACCTCTGTATGGCCTGTTGGTACTTTGCCATCACTTATGCTTTTAAGACATAGCGTTTAATTCCACAAAATAATGATGTCACAATTGTGCATCATGGGATCGAAATGCAGACTAGCCAAGCCAGCACTCAAGCTAATTTGCTGTAATGATATTTTAGTTAGATCTTTTAAAAAACTATCTTGTTTTGACTCATATTAATCTCCTTTTCCTTGAAGTAACTGAAGCAAAGTTTGTCCAAATATCAATCCCACAAGGTTTTGCAATATTAATCACCATAAAATATGCTAGTGAGGGGGCATCAGAGTAGTATGAAAGTGGGAGACAGGCACACAGACAGGCACACAGACAGGCACACAGACCCATACGATATCTAAACAATGTGTAGTTCCATAAATTATCCATACCCCCTCCCACTGAGGAATTTTTCACGACCCCCCTACCCCTGGAAATTCCAATTTGCTTCCATATAAACTCAGTAATTTTGTTTTTTTCTCTCGGAAATTCCAAATTCCTCCGGGGGAATGGATAATTTCTGGAACTACACAACAAAGAAACATTACCCATAAATTCTTAAGTAACTGTGGTTCATTTGATCTCAGACCCAGTTGGAAAAGACTGACGATGAAACCAAAAAAGAAGACTAGGAACAATGCAAGGAAATGCATCAATGTTAGGAGAAGTTTGTTTAGTTTTAATATTAAAATGTTATGGTAGAGTGACATAACATCTAATGATTTGATAATTACTGGTATGTTATTTAAAATGATTATAGATAATAATCACACCAAGCTAAGACAATATTGCATGTTAGTTTTTGAATGCCTTTTGTGTTTTAAATTTGTGGGCTACCTGTCTCTATGTGAAGAAGACCCACACCACCTCCCTCTTCAAATCTTTGCCACAGAAGTGGAGAGAAAAACAATTTACACATATTTGAAGAGGAAGCTACACTGTACATCAACAGCTACATGCT